GAACTTCTAAAAGTTCACTACATTGCCCCTCGAAGGGTAGCTCACGTAAACTCTGGCAAGCGTTCACGTGAGTCTGGTCATACCTGAGTCAGGAGTGACTATAGAAACCACGGTATATCGCGGTTCGAAAAAACCGCGGTTTTCGGCGGTTTCAGAAAATCGCGAAAGTCAGACCTTTTATGCGGTTTTTTGAAACCGCTATAAATCGGAATGTTTTCAGACCGCAGTAATTAACGGTTTTTCGAAACCGAAAAAGTCAGACCTTTTATGCGATTTGTCAGGACCGTGAAGAACCGCGGTATTTTCAGACCGCAGTAATCAACGGTTTTTTGAAACCGCGAAACTCAGACCTTTTATGCGGTTTTTGAATACCGGTGAAAACCGCGGTTTGAAATTACCGCGGGATATGGCGATTTTGAAAAACCGCATAAAAGGTCTGACTTTCGCGGTTTCGAAAAACCGTCGATTATCGTGATTTGGGAAATCACGGTTTTTCGCGGTTTTCGGGGAAAAATTTTTCCGTGGGTAGATGGGATGGGACTGGTCGGCGTAACCAGAAAAAAGACTAGTCATTTGATTCATCTTTTACTCACTTACGTAAGCCGACATGAAATCCTCGATTTTTTAAAAAATTTGGTGGGAAACCATGAAAAACTCGTCAAAACAATCTGGTATACATGATTCGATGCGGTTTTTATGTCCTTTTTTAAACAGTGAAAACCACAGATCTGTGTCTTGTTCTTATCAAAAATTCCAAAAATACCCATTCTTCCCAGGCAGACAACAAAACGGCAAAAACGGCGTTTAAACGTCTCAACATCTCAACTGTTTAAACAGTGTCATTAGTCGCCAAAAACGCGTTAAAACGGTTTATGAAAAATTATCTTTTAACACGTTTTACATGTTTAAACGCTTGGAGTCATTGAAATTGTAACTGTTTTAACGCGTTTTTGGCGACTAATGACATTGTTTAAACAGTTGAAATAATTTCCATTGTCACGCCTCTTAATGATCAACAAATGTTTCATCTAAACAATGAAACATCAACAATTTATAATTAAAGTCTCTTCTCATTGATAAACTGATCGATTATATTCAAATTATCATTAGATTAATGTTGAATTGACATATGTTTATCGTTTATACTTTGAAAACAGTACAGAGAATTTCTCTCTCATCAGTGCGTTTCTTTTTGTATTAAGAGTAAGTTTACATTTTACTATTTACTTGTTGGTATTTTTTTCTTTTTGTTTTTTTCAATAGTGGAAAGAAAGATAAAATACGTAGGTTTAATCGAACAGCATTAACGTCTTGTCATTCCATTCCACTATTAGAAAAAACAAAAAGAAAAAATACCAACAAGTAAATAGTAAAATGTAAGCTTACTCTTAACATAAAAAGAAATGAACTGATGAGAGAAAAATTTTCTGCACTGTTTTCAAAGTATAAACTATAAACATATGTCAATTTAACATTAATCTAATGATAATTTGAATATAATCGGTCAGTTTATCAACGAGAAGAAAACTGAATTATTTCCATTCATGTTTTAAGTGGCGGATAAGAGAGATTGACGAATAGACTTAAAATACTACGACTAACACAGGAATTGATGAAAAGGCAAAGCACGGACTATCTAACCAGCTTCTAATATAAGGAAAACCACAATCGGAACTACTATGGTAGACAGATGTTCTTTAAAAGTATCATTAATAAATTTAACTTCATTTCGATCAAATTCTAAAGTATCAAAGTTTGGAGATATGATATAATAGAAATGTCATCAATGCACTACGAAATCTCATAATTATAGTGTGTATTAAGTCTGTCACGAAATTGATTAAGCCACACCTATGCATCAGAATGTTATCTGTTTTTTCCTGTAGTGACGATATTTCTTTTAAAGCTCATTCATATTTCGATGACTTAAGATTCTCTTTTCATCGAGTAGAAAACTCAACTGTTTCAAACGTCTCATATGTCACACGTATTCGTGATGAACATTCTATATAAAACATTTCAAGTGAGGAATATTTAATGGACTTTGCTATGTTTATCGTCTGCGAGTGACTCTTCTAATTGTATTATCATCGGTATCGCACATATTATGTCTAAGTCAACACTAACCTAGTGAATATTGAAGTATTTTCCACAGAAACTCACTATTAATAGCAATGTAGTAAGTGCCCTATTCTTTCTCTCATTCTGAGTGATTTCCGCAGAAAAGAACTTATCTAATTCGAACATATTCAGTCTTACACAAAAGAAGCGTGTGCCATTACACATAGTGAATTTAACATTAATTTTAAGTATACGTTAGAAATAAAATGGCCTACTCAGTTAGGCAAGTACTCTGTGAACGAAACAGAACACAAATGAATTCCAAATGAAAAGAACAGGGGAATAATCGGACGAGAGAGTGATAAAAGAATGACCTCTTTTTTCCTTTCTCTGTGAACTGGACGGAAAGAAAAGACAGAATGGAAAAAATTTCTTGAAAATGTGGATTGATGATAACTCTGTTTCTATGTGACGATGATAACTAGATGAAATATAAAATAATCAAGCTTTGAAACTTTTACTGAAACAGCTAAACTCTATGTCATTTTTTAATTAAAACCTATATGAGAACAGGATAACTTGTTTATCTTGGTTGAACATGATTGTTGCTCATACGTACTTGCACTTTTAAAAGAGAAATAGAGAAGATTGATTATCATATAATGTAAAAAGGAAGGAATCGTTTATGTTGTTGGTATGATATATTAATATGTAGTAACATTAATGATGATTTCCCCCTTCCATTTAGTTTTTGAACGTTAACAATATTTGTCTGCACTTATGATAATTCACAAAATACAATTGAGCTAGAATTAATCTTCTTAAATGTGCAGTAAAATAAACCAATATTGGTTAAGATGATCTTATAATATTCATTGAACAAATCAATATAACGTTAATTGTCTACACGCTGATTGTTAAAGATATTCAGTATGAGATGTGCTGCACGCCTATTTCTGTTAAGCAAATCAGTTTATGGCAGTTACTCTGCTAGAAATCAAAGATAAGCTTTGTTACATTCTCATCAGATATTAACACTGAACAATATTTGTCTTAACGATTTTCAATTAAGAGTGAAATATTGCTGCGTAGATATACTGATAATACATCAATAAAGAATATGTAAACTCACTAGGCGGAGTATTTTCAGTAAGATCGCTATACTGCTATCGATTTTGACTTCGACTTAATGGGAATAAAAAAATTTTCTTGGTTTAAAATTCCTACTCACTAATAATAAATATCGGATCTGATCTTTTGCTGTTTATTAGTAAAAGATACATGTTCTAACCATCAGTTGCCTGTTACTAATAAATAACGAGCCGTAAAACTTACTACTTACTAGAAAGTAACCAGACTGATTACTGATTATATTGTGTTACGTGATTTAGACACATTTAACCAGGTATAACTGTCACAGAATAGTTAAATTAAAAGTTTACTGCTCATTAGTAACAGATTAGTAGCGCAGACTATCACCTACTAACCACCGGTTAGTGGCGATGCACATTATTTACTGACAGCATAATAATAAAATTTTTGTAGTTTTGATTTTTTTGTTAATCGAAGCAAAACGGAAAAATACTGTTAAAACGGTTTTTTTTCGAAAAAAACGCGAAACTGGGACGTTTTTAACGGTTTTGTCAAATTTAGTTGAAAATAAACTGAAAAAACGATTTAAAAGTGAAAAATTCAGTAGTAAACGCGTTTAAACGAGTTAAACGGTGTAAACGCTTTTTTAACGCGTTTAAACGCCTTTCTGGCCGTTTATTGTCTGCCTGGGTTCTCTTAGTTTAAAATAGATAATAGTTTTAGAAGACATGGTGGAGAAAAAAAATGGAATAATCGATGCCTGTCCTTCGATGGGAAATGATAAAAGGCATCTGATGGGATTCTCAATACGAAAACTAAAATGATGGAATTGATCGTTTTTTCTAGTCTAGCTCAGAATATGAAAGTTTTGTAAAGCTTTTGCTCACTCTGTTAGAATCGTAATCGATGAACTCACGATATATTAAACGACATCTTTAGTTTTTGAAATGTTTCAATATTCTTTGTGAAAAGTTATTTATTACTTCTTGCCAGTGAAAATTTAAAATAATGTGCAGTTTAATTAAAAGTGCCATCTGAGAAGCCTCTTAAGCAAGATTAAGTAGCGTTATAGTAGCTTGAAAAAAGATTCTTGTAATTCTATGTTAATTATGTTTTAGTATTAACTATGAAATACTAAATGTTTCACTTTCGAACAAATGCTTGGTGTGCAGCAATATAGATGGTAGTTAGAAGCTACTTGATGAGATATGTAGACATATCAGAACTGACCGGAATAGCTAACTCATGTATACACTCGCTATCCTTCTTATCGCCCTTAAGATTAAGGCAGTCTCCGTTACACATTACTTATTGCTGATTCCATGTATACGGCTTTTCTCATGAAAAATCGTGAACAAATAAATGGTCCTATTTCAAGAAGGAAACAGCGAATGCAAGCACTTAGTGTTTAATTTTACTCCTTATCTTATTGGTATCGACTCTTTTCTCTCATGCAGATAAAAGTAAATATCGCTTTACATTGGTATCAGATATCATATGTTAGAAAGAGTCAATGAAATGTTTCTAGTAAAGAAACACAAATATCGCATGAGCATTGTAAAAAAATCAATTTATTCGACTTATGATTGATTCATCTAAAGCAATATCAATTAGTTCTTTCAATCTGGCCATGTTAACTCTGATCGATGCATCGTACCGTGTATTCGATGCTCCAGGAAAGTCCAAAACATAATCTTCTGCACTCCACACTTGGTAGTAAAGTTTGCGAATATGTGGAAAATAATTCAAAAAAGCTCCGTCCATTGAAGCTGATTCTCCAACTCTGTATCTCGCCCCCTTAACATACGCTTGTTGATTGACATAATAATCCATTATGATTGCATGCGTTCCTTCGGGTAAAAATGGTATGATTAATGAGATACCACCACATGGTGTGATTAATATAGTTGTCTTGTATAATTCATGCATTTGTTGAGTAAATGTATATTTACTCCAATCAATAACATCAAGCTGTATCTTTGGATAGGCCAAATATATAAAGTGTTTAACTTCAATAAGGTTTGTAATTGCACGTAAACTACGACGCAATGCTCGAGTTTTGTTAACAAGTACAATACGATGACGGGATGGTAAATGGGATACATTGACACCATGATATTGTAGGATAGCAGTACGATAGTCATAGAGAAGTCTTTCTTTCCCATGTGTATATGGTTCATTGCCAATAGAAAACATTGACTTAGCACCACCAGCTACAAGAGTTTGAAAACATACAAGTGACGAAGAAAAATTATTCGTGTAATGATCGAGGCTATCGACTTTTGCAGCAAAAGCAGGAACTAGATTTTTATACATTTGATAAAATTTATCTCCTTTATTCGGATAATGTTGATACTCAAGAAGAACAGGATTTCTATCATATTCATTTAATCTAACCATAGCAAAATAAGTGGATGCTATGTCTTCCCAAATGATATGACCAGGATTAAAGGAAACATACCAATGCATAAATAGAACATGAACATGTTCTACATAAGGTACTTTATTAACCGATGGTAACCATTCTTCAACAATGGTTGGTCCCCATGATCCATGTACAGATGCTCGTGCTACAAGACCAACAAAGCCATGGTTATTTATATTAAAATCATATTTATGACCTAGTTTAGGTTCAAATAAAAGTGGCCTTTTAATGCCGCCTGGTTTACGATAAAACTGAAATACTTTTCTTTCTTTATTGTAACAGATATTTTTGAATTCACAAGTTCTTTGAAGCCATTCAGATTCATAATTCATATTACCTGTACAAGTCCAAGTTGACTGAACATTCGAACCTCTTGACAAATCCGCTTCAGTTATCTTTTCCTCCACTTGATGTAGTAAGACTTCATTCCAGGATGTCGTATCACGAGAGCTATAAAGATGATAAATTCCTAGTAAGAAATGCAAATAATAAATTGTAAATATCGTAAGAAAACTACATAGGAAGCAAAGCAATGTTTTTCTTTTTCGAAATTTCAACTGTCTCATTTCGTATTAGATATATAGTTTTTCCATGGAAGCTAAGACAAATAGTTGAGAAATAACTTATTATAGTATTTTTCATCGATCTTCTGTCTTGCAAAAAAAATGTACGGAATGGCACAAAAGGAAAGTAAGGACGATTGAAAAATTGACTTTCTGTTCAACTATTAAGTAGTAATAGTAGCACAACAGCAGGCAACTGATGAATTCAGCAAACTACCTTCTATTTGAAATGCCATGGATAAAGATATATATCTAGTGTTGAGGCTGTTTCTAATCTGGTACCATGTAGATCTGAAGTATTGCGGTCTGACAGACTATATGGAATCATCGCTTAGAGTTCAGGTCCAGATAATGATAAATGAAAAAACAATTGTATCTTGGTTCAAAAATCTTATAATGTCGGTAGACGCGGATGTGAGTGTGAGTGTTGATGAAAGTATCACTGTAGGTAGATGCGAGTGTGGACGTTCGGTTATCTCTTTTTCTCACACCTTCACGTACACTGTAAAATACAGAGTGGCTATACGAATCCATAAAAGATATTTTAGAAGTGTTCATACAAATTCAGCGATGAATTTCTACTCTGTTGCAAACTAAAATATCGATATTCAGGTTTCGATTTTATGCAGGAAATCAAATCGAATCTCTATTATTTAGAAAATCAAGCATTTGACAAATAATAATAGAAATTCGGCGAATGAATGATAACACTTTGAAAATGTTGTAGCTTATGTAAAGTCGATTTTCTACAAAATAGAGTTTTAAAAAAATTTACAGCGCATTGCTACTTCCACAGCCATAACGACATTCACATCAACACCCAGAGTCCATACGCTCATGTATTAGATGTCTAAGAAAGCCAAAGAGATACGTTACGCACCTTGATGTCTTCACATGAACTATACAATTAACAGCATAGCATATAATGGATGACTCGGTTATAGTGCTTGATATAAATGAATTGCTTTGTCTCGAAATATCCTAAAACTTTTCAGTATACGCGTTTCTTTTAAATTTTCTTTATTTCAACTTTATCATATTTTCTTTATTTTGGTTTTTAGCGTTGTTTCTTTGAACACGAGACATAAGCCATTTTCTGCCGACTGGATCAGGGTATTCAAAGAAAACCGTTAACCGTTAATATTAACGGTTAACGGTTCGAGTTAACGTTAATATTAACGTTAACGTATTAGTTAACCGTTAATATTAACGGTTAACGGTTTTCCTATAAACGTTAATTCGTTAATATTAACGGTTAACGATTTTAGTTAACTTTGCTTTTAAATTAACGTAAACGTACCACCCCTACTCCCTATAGTCGAACTTGAGTACCCAAGAGTAGCCCCTACAGTATGACTTGAGGACTTAAGAATACTCCTACGATTTCGGGAATGACGGAACCCAGGAAATGACTGAACCCAAGGAACGATCGAACCCGGGAAGTTCGAGTTCGGTGCATTCCTAATTACAATATGATTGATTTGATCAAAACAGTTTGGTTATGATCTGAAGAAAACTGTTTATAAGAATTAAATAGAAATCAACTGATAAAATTTAAATGAAAATGTATACTTCTAATGAAACATTATATCGGTCACAGTCTGTTGAATTAATTTATTGAAATCAGAATATATAGCTTATAACCAATAATTATGTTTCTTATAATATAATTAATTTAATTAAAATAGATTGGTTACGTCATGTTATGAAAGTCTTTTTTTAAAAATTTAAATATAAATTAAGGAATAAAAATAAAAATAAAAATATTTAGCTTACAACCAAGATTGATATTGGTTACAATATATGAAATTTAATTAAAAATAAAATAGATTTATTAATTGTACAAAACATTTATTTTAAATTTTAGTACAAACGACTGTACAAAAATTTAAATTAAAACACAACATATTATGTATGTACGTAATCGTAAATCATATTAAATTCAAATTTCTTAAAAATAAAAACTTTTCAATATTTGCACTTTTTTTCTTCGAATCTTTTACATTATTTCTTGGTCATGTCGATGACTTCGGTTTTTAGAGAAGTTCCATTTCCTTTCTCTCTTTGTGATCTTGTTGATTTTGTTTGTTTTTTTATGCCAGCATATGTATATTTTTTTGATTTTATCTTGTGCTTAAACATGTAATGCAGAGGCCTGATGAATATTTTAATATTTAAATAAAGAACATGAAACGTATTGGCAAATAAAAATCTGCATTTCTTAAAATTATTTTTTGGCACAAGTCACAATAAATTATTATTTTAAAATTCATCTAAATTTCGACAAAATAATCGATTGCTGAAAAGTAAACGTGGGGTGTAAGCAGACTGTATTCGTCTTTTCTTTAAGATAGATAGGTTAGTCTGTTTTTCGTTCGACCAATTATACTTACCGACAAAATCATAGTTGATATTAATCTAAATGAAAAAAATATATATTCTATGCTGTAAAATCATGCTCACTGATAAAGTTGATATGGGGGATTTATCCAAATAAAAAAAAATGTAATTTTTTTTTAAATTGTGCTCACCGGTGGATATTAATGCTACATTTATTCTAAAGAAGAAAGAATATAATTTGTTTCATAAACTAATATTTATTAATGAGTCTGTGACTGAGATGAATCTAAATGAAAAAAGATCATAATTTATCTTATCAAATAAGACTCACTGACGAAACTGTTTTTGTGATTGATCTAATTAAGAAAGAAAACAATTTAGTTCTTAGAATAGTACTTGTTGTTGCAATTATTGCTGACATTAATATAAATAAAAAGAATATAATTTATTTTGCAAAATAATACTTACTGTGCCATTGTTCTTGAAACTGATCTAGATGAAATTAATGCAATTCATTTGTTAATACATATACTTATCGCCGAAGTTATTCCGGATTAAAATAGTTTCTCTAGTAAAATAAGACGGATTATACAAGAGCTGCAAAAAACAGAATGGTCATCTCTGTTTTTATCAGATGCCTTGCCATGAAAATATTGAAAGCATGTTTAAGACGAAATCACCAACCTTTAGTTTTTCTTGTTTTCAAAAATAAAAAATTTACAAATAATTTTTATGCAGATGATTCTTATGTCGTTGTTTTTGAAATATCACGATTAATCGGCAAAATTTACGCAATTTTGATGACATGGGTGATGATAAGTGAAGTCTTTTTTTCTTGACACTTCATGATCCATGAAAGTCACATTCATAGTTAGACAAAACCATTCACTATTCTCTTTTTTTTTCTTATTGATAAAACTGACTACATGCGAGTTGTCTATGATGTTCGTCAAACAGAGACATCTATTGTTAAAAAACAACAACCATTGTTCAAAAGTTACTGTTTCAATCCAACAAGTACCAATTCAACGCAAGCTCAAACCATTGGATTGACATATTTTCTCTACTTACACGTCAAATTTTCTATCTCTTATACAGACGACTAATTTGATCCGTCGTTTGAAAGAAATTTCCTCACGTGCTTATAGTGAATGACCGTTAATTATTGCATGTAAATCGATTTAAGTCATGATGGATAATGAAAAACGCGAAAATTTGGCAAATGCTCGTCGAAAAGTTTGTTCTCATTTTCGATTCCTTTTTGAATCAATAATTTTATTTTTTAGTTAAAAAAATTCCGTGATCAATATCAACCAAACAACACTGAAACAAATAGTAATGATGTTCATTCTATCAACGGAGTAAATTCTTTTTTTCGTAACTAATTCCTTTATTATCGATCTTTTTTTTTCAGACGTCTATCGATTCTACTATTAATTACAATATAATGTCAGTTGATATCAA